TATATATATATAGTATATATAAGTCTAAGGAGAATCGAACACCTATTTCTTCCTTATCAAAGAAGCATTTTAACCGTTAAATTATAGACTTAATAAAAAAAAATCAATATTCAATTTCTTATAAAAAAAAATAAGGAATTAAAATAATGAAATAATATAAAATAAATGAAATTAAATAATAAATAAAATAATACCGATACAAATATATGATAAATAATTAGCATTAATAATAATTAAGAATCAACTTAAAATAATTAATTCGATAATTAAACCAAAATTAAGATAAACTAATTTATTCAATTTTAAATTAAAGAATTTAATAAATTGAGATAATCCTAAAGGACCTAAGAAAGTTAATAAACCTTTATCAATATATTTATTTAATAATCAACTTATATATAAACTAAATCTCAATATAATATTATTAAATATTTGATCATACATAATTTTTTGATTAAAAAAGATATATAATGATCTTAATAATTTATTATTAAATACATAAAATAATTTATAATTAAATTCATATATATATAACATAATTAAACCTCCACCAATACTAGTAATTAAAGGTAATATTTTTAATATTGAATTTAAACTAAATTCAGTATCAATTAAATTTAAATTATTAGGATGAATAAATAAATTATAAAATGAAGAACCCATTCCTAAATAAACATCTCTTAAAATATAACCTATAAATATTGATAATATTGTTAATATTATCATAGGAATAATTAAAATAATATCATTTTCAAATAAATAATAATAAATATATTTAGAATTATTAGGAGTATGTATAAATGTATAATAAATTAATCTTAATGAATATAACGATGTTAATGTAGCAGAACTTAAAGCGAATAAATAAACAATATATCCACTAAATTCATAATTACCATACATTGATTCAATTATTATATCTTTAGAATAATAACCTGTTAAACTAGGAATAGCCATTAATGATAATGAAGCTATTAACATACAAGTATAAGTTAAAGGTAAATATTGTTTAAATGAACCAAATACACGTAAATCTTGATATTCTGAAGCTATACTATGTATAACTGAACCAGCTGACATAAATAATAATGCTTTAAAAAAACTATGACATATTAAATGAAATAATGCTAAATTATATGCAGATACTCCTATAGCAATCATCATAAATCCTACTTGACTCATAGTTGATAATGCTATTATTCTTTTAATATCATTTGATACTACAGCGATTAATCCTGATATTAATGTAGATAAACCACCTAATCATAAAATTAATAATAAAATCATAGGACTATATTCTAATATAGGTGATGATTTTATTAATAAAAAAACACCTGCTATAACTAAACAAGCAGCATGTAATAATGAAGATACTGGTGTCGGTCCTTCCATAGCCAGAGTAATAATCAAGAGTGCAATCCTAATTGAGCACTCTTAGCTGTAGCTGCGATTAAGAAACATAATAAAATAATAATTAATAAATCAGTATTAATAAAATTACCTAATGCGAAAATAGTATTATAATCTAAACTACCTGTAGTCATTAATAAGAAACTTAAACCTAAAACTAAAAAAGCATCACCAAATCTATTAACTAATAAAGCACTTAAACCTGCTTTAGATGCATTAATTCTAGTATATCAAAATGATATTAATAAATAAGAAGCTATACCTATAAATTCTCAACCAACAAATAAAATTAAATAATTACTACCTGTTACTAATATTATCATTGCAAAAGTAAACATTGATAAATAACTAAAAAATCTTTGTTGATGTGGATCATGACTCATATATGAACATGAATATATATGAACTAAAAATGATACAGTTATTATTGGTATTAACATTGAAATTGATAATTTATCTAAAGTTAATGATCAATTTATTTCAATATTATCTACAACTATTCAATTCATTAAATATATTGAATATTCTATATTATTATATATTATATCTATATATAATATATATATACTTATTAATGAAATAAATAATGTAAAACAAACTATTCATTTAGAACTATTAGGTCCTAAATATCTACCTAATAAACCACTAATTAAACTACCAATTAAGGATGAAAATATACTTAAATATATCATTATATTTTAATATCTGTATTATCACCTCTTATTCTATTATAACTAACTAATATAGATAAACCTATAGCAGATTCAATACCTGATATAATAATTTGAATTAAACTAAATATTAATCCTATCATATCATTATCTAAACTACTTATATATATTGTGTTAACAGTACAACCTATAATTAATATTTCTATCATAATAAATATATCAATTATATTTAAACCAACTGCAACTAAAACTAATAATATTAATTCCATTCTTTTTTTTTAATTAATCTCTCCTTATAAAAAATATAATATATGACTAATAGGATTTGAACCTATAAAAAATTAATCCTTAATTAATCGCGTCTACCGTTTCGCCATAGTCATTCCTATTAATTATAATATAAATAATATATAATTTAAATTAATAAAATCTATAAATACCCTATAGGAATTGAACCTATATTTATAATTCCGTAGATTATTATTTTACCATTAAATTAAAGGTATAAAAAAAAATTGAATCGAATAGATTCGAACTATTATATTCTTGACTCAAAAGCAAGTGACTTACCTATTAGTCTACGATTCATAAAAAATAAAAATAGAATTACAGAGAATTGAACTCCGATTGGCTCATTATGAGTGAGCTGCTTTAACCATTAAGCTATAATTCTAAATTTTATATAATTAAATGATAATTATATAATATAATATAAATATAAAACGGAAACTAAGGGATTCGAACCCTTACTGAATAACTTCAATTATGTAGCAAATAATTTATCTTACCAATGATTAAATTTCCTTATTTATAATAATATTAATTATTCGATTCCAACCCGATTTGAACAGGCATCTTTCATTGTGACAAAATGAGGCTTTACTATTAAGCTATAGAACCTTATTATTTAACCTTTATTGGAATCGAACCAATACTATTAATATGAAGAATTAATGTCATAACCATTAGACTAAAAGGTCATAATCATTATACCTATTTATTTATATTAAATTTATCATTATTATAAAAGATCTATATTTAATATTTCTTATATTCTATATTTATTATATAATATTAAATATATAATAAATGAAAACAATTATATTAGTTATAATTAGGACTCGAACCTAAAATCTTTTGATTACAAAACAAACGCAATAACCAATTATGCAATTATAACAAAAAAATTAAAGATAATAAATTAGATATAAAGAAAAGAAAATTATTAATTAGTATTAAATAGATAAACTATCATTAACCTATCTATATGTTAGTATAACATAATAATTAAAATGTCTAATAAGATCAATTTCGTATTTGATATGCGTTCAATACTTATTTATTATTAATGTAGCTTTACTACTATGCATTAAATTAAATCTTTATATTTAATTAGATTATTAATCTAACTAAAATAATGCAATAGTTAAACCATTGATTAATTATAACTAATCCTTTCGTACTAAGTTATAATTCTTATTTGACAATTTCCTAAAGCAGATAGAAACCATACTGTCTCACGACGTATTAACAAATTATCAATTATTTTCATAATTGTTTAGACTATATCTTCATTATTAATTTTTATTAAATTTATCCTTGATTTTATTTATGTATTCTATTTCTCTCATATTATTTCTATTATTTATTAAATTATATGATAATTTTATTATTTTAAATAATTGTTCATCATTATTTTTATCATAATTCTCTTTATTTATTTCATTTATTATTAATAAAGTATAATACACTTTATTATTTTTTATTATAGGTAATTTATTATTATTATTCTTTAATAACAATAATATTTCTTTAATTTCTTTATTATTATTAACAGATCATTTAATATCTTTATTATTTGATATACTATAATTTATTTGTCCTATATCATTAAAATATTCTTTAATTTTTTTAATTAAATTTATATCATTAATATTTTGAGTTATTGATAATACAAAATTTATATCTTTTTTTGTAGTTATATTACAAATTAATGATCCATTACCATCAAATAAACCTCAAATATATTCATTATTTAATTTACTTGATTTATAATTATTAATTATATTAGTTAAATCACTAATATTTATTAATACTTCTTCATTTTTCACAATATCTATTTCATTAGATGATAAATATCTAATATCTTTTAAATCTTTATCTCTATTAATAGTATTTGCTATACTAATTAAACTTATTAATAAATTTTTATTAATATTTCCAATATTTAAATATAATAATTCAATAATAAATTTAAATTTAAATAAATCTATTTGTTTATTACTTTTTAAATCATTCTTAATAAAAAATGGAATTATAATATCTTTTAATTCTTCTAAATTATTAATTTCATATATTATATTATTTTTATTAATAATACGTCAATAACCTATATTATTAAATTTAGATTTAATAGCTAATATTAAATCTTTATTATTAATATGTTGAGTTATTTTAAATATTGGTTGTAATCTTAAATTATTTTTCGTTTTAATTAATGATATTGAAAAAGAACCATTAGCTTGTACTAAACCACATATATATTGATCAGTTAATTTATTTTCTAATTTTATCATATAATAATGTGATTATTTATTTCATACATTTATTTATTATATTTATTTAATTTAATTTATTTAATAATTTATTAATAATGCTGGCGTTTTACCTATTATTATTATTATAATAAGTCCAATATATAAATTATATATTGAGTCGTTACAGGATTATATAATATATATATAATTTCCCACGGTATTAATATGATATATTAAAAATATATTTTAATCTTCACCGTTTTCAGCCAGTAATTATTATAATTCTTTGCAGAATTACCGGGCAAATACATACCCAACTCACGTAACCTTTTAATTGACGAACAGTCAAACCCTTATTAGCGGATACAACCAATAGGATAGGTTGAGTCGACATCGAGGTGGCAAACAACATTGACAATATCTACTCTCTCATGTTATTACCCTGTTATCCCTAGCGTAACTTTTATTCGTTATCGATTACTCTTACTATCGAAATAATCTGTTCATTATACCATACTTACGTATCATTTCCACTTGTAAGTGTCAAATTATAGCACAGTTATCCACTATTATACTAATAAATATATAACAATATTGTTATAATTTGATTTCAGATCAAATGTACTGTACATAATTTATTCTAAAATAAAGAAAAATAATTCTCTTTTTTAACAATTTTAATGATTAATTCATTAATTTTAAATTATTTAATAATAATATAATATGTAATTGGACATATTCAGTTATTTTATGTGAAATCAACACCCCATTCAAACTATCAATTAAAGGCTGTCATCAAAATAGAAATTATTTCTATATTTAATTAGATAATTTCATAATTAAATTTTATGATTATTTTTTTATAATATTATAAATAATATAAAAAACCCTAATATTGGAGTATTTATTTTAAATAATAAAAGTATTTCATGGTTATATAATCTATTACTTTATATGCTAAAAATATTCAAAATAAATACAACCTATTTAATTATAGTAAAGCTGCATAGGGTCTGTTGAGATAGGTCGATCTATTACTAAATTTTCCCCCTCGTGGAACCGTACGTGCAACTTTCATCGCATACGGCTCGAGCATAAATTATCATTATTTTAATTTACACCTGTTCTAAGTCTGCATTTTTTCAAATTAAATCAAATGATTCTATTCTTACGATTAATATAAGACATTAGCTTTTTAGAACATCCTTTACCCACTATTATTTATTAAATTTTGCAATTTAACTTCCATTATTTATAATTTATAATTTATAATTTATAATTTAAATGGTTAATATTGGGTTTACCTAGTTTACTTATTAATACTTTTATGATTACCTTAGAATCTCACTATACGTATGTTGATATTATGATCCATTAAGAAAAAATCGAGAACTTTTTTCTACAATCAACAATTATTATTACCAATATTTTTTCTCTGTGTAATTTTTAGTAACGCTTCTAACATGAGTTCGATCTCCTATTCATAGTAATCTAGCTCACCTACCTATAATAATAAAAAATTAAAAATAGGGAGGATATAAATAATATAGGCTTCAAACAAAAGAATTACTTCTAATGCATGCTATATTGAGCTCAAATAATGGATTATTAGGTGGATTTTCACCACATTATTAATAAGTACTTATCTAGTCGCACTCTCGTCTTACTTTAGGTATACAGCATCTTCACTGCAAATTCAATTTCACTGAGCTTATAGTTGATACAGTTATTATATCGTTACTCCATTCATGCAGGACCATAATTAGTGGCCAATGAATTTCGCTACATTATGACTCTCAGTATAAAGCCGCCATTTATTTAACTTTAGAAAATAAACCAAATAATTTATTTTTTTATTATTAAACATAGGGCAGAATTCACACTTTATTCAACAACTTTCGTTTTTGCAAAGTGCTGTGTTTTTAGTAAACAGTCGTATAATATTTGCTTTATTGCCTCTTTTTGACTAACGTCAGAGGTTTGATTTGCCGAGTTCATTAACTATAATTAACTCATTCACTTTCATTTCTTACTAATCTACCTGTGTCGGTTTAATTACGGTATTTTATTATTTATTTTCCTGTACTATTATAAAGATATATTAATTATTATTAATATAATAATAGTCATTTATATAATTTATTAATTACCTATCTCATTTAACTTTTTAATTAAATAATTATGGACCGATTTTATATTAAAACCTCAGATACAAAGTGAAATGGATTTTACCATTTTTACGTTACTCATGTCAGCATTCTCTATTTAATTAATATATTTAATTATTTTTTATTAATAATTCTAATATAAATTATTATTTATTAGAATAATTTAAATATTATAATATATATAATATATTATATTATCATTAAATGTTTTGCTACCTTATAATTATATTTAATAATATATAATCATAATTAAAGATTCGGTAATATATTTTAGATCCGATTATTATCTATTAAATAATTAAATTATATAATAATTAGTACGTTGTTACACGATTATTATAGAATAGTTACTATCAAACCTATCTACTAATTGTTTAATAATTATTTAATATTATTTTCACTTAATATATATTTTGGAACCTTATCTATTAATCTGGACTGTTTTCCTTTTGATTATCGACCTTATCACCAATAATCTGACTATTTATAATTATATTGTAATCATTATGAGATTAAATAATATTGATAATTCTTTATCAGAACCCCAATTATTATTAATTGCTTTACCGACTAAATATTCTATAAATGCTATACTTAAATATATTTCGCAAAAAACCAGCTATTTGTAAATCAGATTTGACTTTCTCCACATACCACAAGTCATCAGATAATATTGCAACATTAACCTGTTCGGTCGATCTCGATTTCTCGATTAACCACCTGCTCATGGTAAGATCATTTACTTTCGGGTTTATTATTATTAACTACTTATTCTCATTTTCATTCTAATATCTTTATTTTGCTAATAATAATAACTTGCTGACCCATTATACAAAAGGTACATTATTGATTTTTTTTTATCTTTAATTGCTTATAAAACAACTAATCTATTGATTTTCCCTTTCGGTACTTATTCATATTTACTAATAGTATTTAGTTTTAGAACTAGTTTGTCCCTTTTTCTATCATTTATACGATATACTTATTAACTAACTTTTCTGCTTTCTCTCACCAATACTCACAGAATCTCTGTCGATTTCTTTTCCTTAAGTTACTTAGATGTTTCAGTTCACTCAGTTTTCTTTTCGGTTTCCCTTAGGTTTTATGATTAATGCTGATATTAATCTCTTTTTAACCTTCTCTATTAGTAATCTATATTGCATCTCCCAATATATTTTTCAATCAGTTAATTGTCTCTTTAATCTTTTCTTATTTTTTTTTCAAATCTATTATCTTTCTTTTATTTTCTTTATTTTTTTTTTATTAGATTATTTT